CGGAGGAACAGTAGAAACTGGAGACGGGGGAGGCACAGTGAAGGGGTCAGAGGGGAGAAGGCTAGGAGACAAGCGTCCGGTAGGAGGACGACCCCGCCTCGGCGGGCGAGCCACTTCAACCGGCCCGGCCAAGTCCAAGCTGGCTTAAGGCGGTCCACCGAGACCCGCTCAGGTTTACCCCCATGTCAATTACAAAATGTTTCTGTCCCGCCTCCAAAACCCGGAAGGGGCCCTCATAAGGAGGGCGCAAGGGCCCTCTGTGCCCATCAACGCGAATGAACACATAACCGGCTGACAGGAGGTCCTTGGGCACGTGAGAACCTGGAACACCGTGGCAGGAAGTGGGCAGAGGGGCAAAGAGCCTGGCATTCTCTAAGAGGGTGGAGCGTTGTGTTGTGCCGTGGCCGACCAAGGAGTAGAAGCCGTCGGCACAAAATCCCCAGGCACCCGCAGAGGCTGGCCATAAACAAGCTCCGCGGAGGAAGACCGGAGATCCTCCTTGGGCGCCGTCCTGATGCCCAGCATGACCCATGGGAGTCTGTCGATCCAGTTGGCGTCCTTTAGGGTGGCACGAAGCGCAGCCTTCATCGACCGGTGGAAACGTTCGCAAAGGCCGTTGCCCTGCGGGTGATACGCCGTGGTGCGGTGCAACCTCACCCCCAAGCTGTCTGCCACTGCAGTCCAAAGCTCGGAAGTGAACTGCACGCCGCGATCCGAAGAAATATCCGAAGGGGCGCCAAAACGGGATATCCAGGCGCCAATAAACGCCCGTGCCACGTCGACCGATGTAATGGATGACAGCGGGGCGACCTCCGCCCAACGTGTGGTGCGATCGACCATAGTTAACAGGTGGGTGTACCCCCGAGAAGGGGGCAGGGGGCCAACCAGGTCGATGTTAACATGGTCGAAACGTCGCTCAGGCACGTGAAAGTGTTCCAAAGGGGCCTTGGTGTGGCGGTGTACCTTGGCCCGCTGGCACTCCACGCAGGCACGAGCCCAATCCCTGACATCCTTCTTCAGGCCGTGCCATACGAACTTGGCTGCCACCAGTCGTTGAGAAACCTTGGTCCCCGGGTGAGAGAGTCCATGGACAGCATCGAAAACCGGGCGTCGCCAGCTCAAGGGAACCACAGGCCGAGGGGTGCCTGTGGAGACGTCTCAGAGCAAAGTGGTGCCGGAGCTGCCAAAGACCATGTCCCTCAGCTGCAAACCCGTCGTGGACGACCGGCACTGCTGCACTGTGGTGTCGGTAGCCTGGTCCTTCGCCATACTGCAGTAGTCGAGACCCAAGTGGACCGCTCCCGCCATGGCTCTGGAGAGGCAGTCAGCAACACAGTTGTCTTTCCCCGCCACGTGCTGAATGTCTGTAGTGAACTCGGAGACATAGGTCAGCTGGCGTTGCTGTCGGGCGGACCATGGTTCTGCGGCCTTGGACATGGCGAAGGTCAAAGGCTTGTGGTCGACGTAAACTGTAAACCGGCGGCCTTCGAGCATGTGTCGAAAATGGCGGATGGCGAGGTACATCCCGAGCAGTTCACGGTCGAAAACCGGCGGCCTTCCAGCATGTGTCGAAAATGGCGGATGGCGAGGTACATCCCAAGCAGTTCACGGTCGAAAGTACTGTACTTTTGCTCAGGGGGGCGTAACTGCCTACTGAAAAAAGCGAGAGGCTGCCAGGTACCGTTCACCCACTGTTCAAACACCGCCCCCGCCGCGTAGTCCGAAGCATCCGTGGTCAGTGCCACAGGGGCAGAAAAGGAGGGATGTGCCAGCATCGTAGCTCGTGCCAAAGCCGCTTTAGTGTCCATAAAAGC